CACCTGCTCTTACTCAGTGTGCGCCCTCTACTAGTAAACCGCCTTCAAGCCTTTGCTCAGAAGAATTATCAGATAGTGAGTATAGTCCAGCTTAGGGGTTAGGTTTGGGGTATCAGGTAGAGTCACTGCGGGTCATCGTGTGACACACACAAGGCACTCACCAGCATGTCTGAGTCTCCGAGGACATAGTCACAGAAAGAATTGATATGTGTACTCCAGTCCTCATTTCCTGTTGATTGGATGGGAAATCCCATCACTGAGCTCACATCTCTTGCTATCTCTAGCAATCAAGCATTTATCCCGCCATGAACAAAATATTAGCTTCAACAGAGATGCAATGACACTCAAAGGCATACTTTGTTCAAGGCTGAAAGCCGCAATACAAACTTTGCATATGCAATCAAATATGTTAACAGAGCCACGAGCTGTTGATGGAAAGACAGGCTCAGTAGGTTCTAAACTGCGCACAAAGGGGCCAGTAACTCACCAACCCTCCTGTACAGGACCACCTGATAATTGCATATGTAATTACGTAGCTTTGCTGCAGCGGACTGAACGATTCTATTCATGTTTCCAACAATCACAGTTCTCGAGCATCAACCCGCGCACGCGCCTGCTCGGTCACTAGAGCGAGGGAAGTGTCACTAGGGAAGTTCAAAGTTGACGCAGCTGGGCTCGCAGAAAGTTCTGCGGCGCAGATGTGCTTTTGGGCACTAGAAAAAATGCGAGTTTCTTGAAATGCGGTCACACTGGCTTTCCTGTGACCCAAGTATGACCTTCGGTAGATCGCGCATGGCACGCCGCACGTCATCGACTCCCTTAGAGAATCATATTGTGGTCGGACATAAAGGCGTCGTGTACTCTCAATCGCTTTGAAACAGCGATCTGTGTATCGCAGAACGGTTTCCTCTCCAATTCCTGCTTGGCGCACGATATCTTCAACGGACGCCCTATTCCAGAACCCATTCGATCGGGCGTGACCGCCAGTTGGGTCTGAACAGGTGCTTGGGGATTATTCGAATTGTTATGAAAAACTTAGTAAAAGTGAGGATGACATTGAAGACATATGGAGATATCTGCAGCATCTGTATAAATCATCCCCAATCCCTGTGATCTTTCCGGTACTCCCATGCCAGATGTAGATTTCCGAGGCGTAAAACGCGTTCACGTCCGCGCAAGTATCGAGTTGTCCTGATTGCCCGAAGTACCTTGATGTCGATATCAAAGCTGTTGATATATTGCCTCAAGACTCCCAAGCTGTGTGAATACCTCTCAGAGGGCAGCAAACAGCACATATGAGTGGATGTACTTATCATACAGCGGTTGGTTAGGCATCTTATCACGCAGAAGAATTTAGGGTTCTCCAAAACATGCTCATTAATAATCACAATCGTATATCTGAGTGTGACATTAGATAAGCAGGAGACATAGGCATTTTTTCTCGTTTTTGCATCTGGGCTCACATTTTCTTCAGCGCCTAAATCCGCATCTGCGCCGCAGAACTTTCTGCAAGCCCAGCTGCGTCCACTTTGAACTTCCCTACTTGTTTCGTTAATGCTCGTAGCTCGATGGGTTGGCTATCCCCAGTGGTTTAGCGACCTCCTACTCTCGAAGGCCGTCGTCGCCTTGAGTAGTCGTAGCTCAGAAGGAATGACTCGACCGCTTTCCCTGAAAGACTTCGTTGCAGTCATGACAGTCATGGGCGATCGCTCTTCAGCTCGATGTTCAATCTGCGCGATCGCTTGCCACATCAACGAGCTGTGAAGCGTATTATAGGCGCGAACAGCCACAGCCACATGTTAAACCACGGTAAGCAGGTGCTCTATCCAACTCGCGTTCACTTATTTATGGAGATGCTATCCAATGGCCATCAAATCAAGTACCAATCATCTTGACGAGCAGACATGAGAGTGTCCTCGTTCTGAATTGTTTGCTTTGCTCACTCTGCACTCATATCCAATCGACGTCGCTCCCGCCCATCACCCGTCCTTGTACGCCGTGCTATGCCTCTCGTCCTTACATTCTCGGAGAATAACCCACTAGACTCGACTATCGTCGACGAGAGCACGTACGTCGCGACTCCTCGCTACGAGACATTCACCACCAAGGTGACGGACGGCCAGAGGAAGACGACTTTGTGGGCGCTGGCCCCATCGCGCAGCATCGTAGCGGAGGTGGAATGGGAGCGGTCATTCAAGTCGGGCAAAATCACGATGGAGGGCCGATGCATGGAGATGGATGCACTGTTGCTTGGAGGCGGCTTTTTAAGTCGAACGTGCGTTCACGTTCTTGGGAACTCGCTCACTGAGACATTCAGGTTCGTTGTGCACCCTGCAGTATACGTAAAGTCCAGCTTCGCGGAGGGCGACTATACAAATGGAAGCAATCTGGTGCTGTGGATCTCAAAATGGGCATTGTCCGTTCTTTTGTGCGCGATCGATCTGACACTCTGTCTCCTCACCACCGATGGCGGATGCAGCTTGTCGACCCGGAGGATGGCTCTCTTATTGCGCGTTCGTTGCACGCCAAGTTAGGGATATTTGAGGAGAAACGAGACTTGACTCTGGAAATCTCGGATAGAGGCCTAGCCTCCCTCAATTTGATCCTGCTCACGTTCATATTGGTGGATGGAGCATCTCGCAAGAGAGCAGCGCCGCGCGTCTGTTCGTATGAATCCCGTCAACAATATCAACAGCCTCAACATGATCAATACGATGAATGTCATCAATATGACAAGTATATAATAAATAGGCGGTTCAGTTAAAAGTGTGAAGGGGCTATAAGTGCGACTGACATTTCGATAATGTATAGGTATGGGAGAGCGTTGATTAAGTCGGTCTCTAGACCCATGTTACTAAATGTACACATCTAGATTGTATGTACGCGCTCCCTGTGTACAAGCCCAGCAAAACCAGACCATCTGACGGACAGCATTCCTCAGCTTGTCAGACTTACACCCTTGTCATCCTGTGCTGATGAAGGGAATTATGTGGGATCGAGCCAATCAAGCACTGCCTCGGCCTTCATGAGGCTGTGCTGGGAAATGGTCTCGAGCAATAGCAGTGGCGCAGAACCCCTTGACAAATCCAGTATTGTAGCGTGAGTATTTACCGCAGCTGCCGCAGGTTCAAAGCTGCATTGTCTGGGGTTGTTCTTAATTCCTGATTTTCCTCTGCTGTAGTCCCCTTTGAAACGCCTCATGCCTCTCACTCTAACATTCTTGTGCAACGACCCACTGAACACTATCATCGTTGATCAGTCGAGTGGCCAAACTAACCCTCTGTATGAAGTGACTTCTATCAAGCTTGATGGTGGAAAACGGAGGACTACACTGACGGCTCTGACTCCGACCCGCAGAGTCATTGGTGACCTGGAGTGGAAGGAGCCACCGGTTTCTGGCGAGCTCACTGCTACCGTGAAGGGGCGACGTACTACAGCATATTCGCCGCCCAGAGGCTTCTTGAGTCGAATGTAAGCCTATGTCCTAATGATCGGACAAAGAGCTGATTCTTACTGTACACATATGGTAGTATATTCAAGCTCAGGTTCATGGGCAGCCCGCTTTTCAAATGGATGATCTCGGATGCGGGAAATCTTGTGGTAAGTTCCATGCATGTCCACTGTTCTAATTTGAGCCGACACCTGTTTCCTGCCTGTTTCCTGCACATAGCTCATGGACTGCAGCAACGGATCTACGATTGCGCAATATTGGCGTGCCACGTCAATGCTCTTTGACAAAGAGCAGAAATCGACACTTGCATTGGAGGATAAAGGCCTGCCCATTCTCGACGGCATCCTCTTCACATTCGTGTGGATGCACATTGAACGGGAACGGGAGCGCTGTACTGCCTTCAGTGTCACCAATGTGAATATGAATCGACGGGTAACACTACCACGCTGAGTACGATATTCATGGGGTCTTCGGTGGAATGTGAAGGAGCCTATCACTTCGTTGTACTACTTGAATGTAATGGCACAAAGCTTGCAGAGGTACCTGAAGTTGTGATTCTGATTGCAACTTGACATGACTGTAAGTTGTCTCAGAATCTTCTGTGC